CTAAATTACATTGAATTTGTACTCGAGTAAAAGTAGAAGTAATTAACAATAAAACGACTTGAGTAAGAGTAAAAAGTACTGGAAGCAAAACGTACTTAAGTAAAAAGTACAAAGTATCCTTAAAAACTACTTGAAGTACAAAGTAAAAGTACTATTGTCTGTAGCGTGTAGAGGGGGGGGGGGGACTTCTCCAATGGATTGACATACAAAAGACACAAAACAGCACACGCATTATATGCGTGCACCGAATATACAATATTTCACGGCATGGTTCACTTTCCAGACCCCGATGAAGATATAAGAAATCCATTAAATAAATAATGCTTATAAGTAAGCTACTAACGAGAGATCCCAGACGCATGTAGAGGTCATATTACCAATCCAAAAATTAAAATAAATCAGAAATATTATCACTTAAAATTAAACAAAAGTTAGAAAGTAACGAAATACTTCGCCACAAAATGAAAATAGCGAAGTAAAACGTTACTTCTTAAAACGACTTCGTTCCAAGTAAAAGTACTGCAGAAAAAGTTTACTTTGTTACATGCTGACTTCTCAAAAATTGTACTTATGTATCGATCAATTCGAAACTTCACCGTCGCGGCTTGGGAATTTGACTCTCAAGTCTTCTCTAGGGAGTAGGGAATTTGACGTTCTAGGTCTTCCATGTGGTGGGGCATTTGATAACGGGGTGGGGAATTTAAACCGGAAGTCTTAACATTTTGCCCGTTTTCGCGTGCTTCCTGCATGCACAGAAAATACTTCGCATTGGCGGCAAATACAGTTTTCTCAGATTTCAAGGGAAACGGCCTCAATTTTGTGAAAAACTGGCTCAAAGAAACGGGCATGGAAAATCTATGTGGCAGTGCTTCATTTGAAGGTATGTACTACATAATTGTGTAAAACTGTTAAATTTCTACAAGGTATCCAAACTTTTTACGTGAATTTCGCTATCTTGTCGATAAACATTTCCGTATATTTTGTACTTTTTGTATTTACTGTTTCATAATTTTCATATGAAGGTGGGGCATTTGAACACTTAATTTCTTGTTACAGTGGGGCATTTGAAGACATTTTTTGCACAGGGGGTAGAGAATTTGATCAGTCAAATTTCAAAAATTTCAAATTCCCGGGGTCGGCCCGGGGGGGATGGCGAAGTTTCGAATTGATCGATACATTAAGTACAGTAACGAAGTACATTTACTTCGTTACTTGACACCACTGATTATATCGCATTCTCATGTTTTTATATCATTATATGAAACTAAAACCACCCCCAAATCACACTTAATACATAAAGGAAACTAAGTAAGTTATACTTCATAATTTAAAGTCATATTTAATGCAAAATATAATAAAATTAAAAAATAAATAAATACCCACACAGAGCCTGGGCCACTTGTGCCACAGAGTAGATAAGGCATACAGAGACGTAACTGACCGTTGTAAACACTGCGGAAGATTACGTTATCATGTACCCATTTATTATCCGTTATCGTGTTTTTCGTTTTATCATGTACCCACATCATTTTTCGCCACCGGGCGAAAAATGATCAACTGCGCATGCTCAGCAAGTTTAAAGTGAGTCGTCATCAGGTCGTCATCCAATCAGATGCTGCATCTAGTAACTTGCCGAGCATGCGCACAAAAAAAGTGGGTAGTTACGTCTCTGTATGTCTCTACTCTGTCACAGAATAGGAAGTTATACCAGAAGCGTAACTCTAGTCGTTTCCCTTGTTTGACGTCCACGAAAATGTTTAACTCGCTCACGTCAGGCCACGCCATCCTGGCTAGTACAGCCGGAAGTTTTTATCAGGATTTGGTAGGTACAAAGTGCCGGTTGTACTAGCCAGGATGGCGTGATTGATGACGAATCGCTTGTAAAAACGCGGACAAATATTTGCTCGAGTTACGCTTCTGGTATAACTTCCTATTCTGTGACTCTGTGCTTGTGCTGAATGTCGTGCATACTTCACAGTGGTTATCCATAGATTTTACTTGTGAGAAAATTTTACTAAGATCTTTATAAATCTTTTTAATACTTTGTAATGTTTTTTAATAATGTTATACATATTCAAGTACACGTATCGATACATACGATTTTTCCAATTTAACAATTCTGTTGAAAATAAACAAGTGATATTACTGATATACCACAAAATATATATTTCCTCTTTTAACCGACATCGATCAGTGACATGTTTAAGTTCAGCCTACCCAGCAATTTTATTGAATTTGTCCATTATTTTCAATCACAATGTATGCTGCCAAATACACCACACAAATTATCAATGTCATGTGGCCAGTATTAAAAACAGACAAATTCTCGGTATTCTTGAGGTTTTACCCCAAACATTTCAACATTCGATACTTGTCTAAATTGTCTACATAAACGTCGAATCCTTAATATTTCTTACCTGTGCTTATCTTCCTTTAAATTTTAGTGTAAAATTTACCTACATTACGACATACATCTCGACACACATTACCTAAAAAGTAGCACGATCAAGCGATGGCGATGTCGCTCGTTCTTCGGTGGTTTCACTCTCACCGCTCTCACTGAGTCACTGCGACGTTAATTTTGGCGAGTTTGCATAAATTAGACTATGTGGGATCGAAAAGCAATTGGGAAAGCCCACTGGGAAAGCCCCATATTCATCCCGCAATAGCGTTGTCCGCAGTAGCTAAAAATCAGGGCGAAGGGAGAGAGGGCGTAGAAACGGCCATACATCGAGCGGACCATCCGTGATGCGGGCTTCGCGGGGGGCAAGACGTTCTAATTGTAAACAAATATGGCTACGCGTATATGACCCATCACGTGGACCCATCAGAAGGTATGCTGAAACTATTGCTTTATAAAATATTACTTGTGTAAAATTTATATGTTTTTGTTACTTTTAGCTATTATAAGAAACTTAAAGATAAGATTTAAGTAACAAAAAACTTTATTTCGGGTGTTATTTTATTTATATACTCTGTTTAATTTGGTGGTTAAAAATGGCCGTCGAGATGTTGTAAGAGAGTGTTAGCGCGCACTGCTTCCTGATAAAAACCCAATGATTTCCAAAACCTGAATTATAATTTGTTATTAAGTTATGATGAAAACCTTTGCGTATACAAAATTATAGAGTGAGCAAACATGAGACAGATAGGTTTTGAACCTTTCAAAGTTCGAGGTCGAATTGACAGTTGAAATATTACCAAACTCCAAGCTGAAATGTGCAACTAAATCGTGTATATTTTTGTCAATCTTGTTCGCTGGCTTTGTTAAATTCACTTGCAATGGCTCGACATAAGTTACAACATACAAACTGAGCAGAGCCCATGAAAGAGCTATCCATAGTCCATACCCATACAGTCATTCAGCTTCCTTGCTATTTAGAAATTGTTACCCATTAGTTGAAGAAGAATTGCTATTGTATGCGGTTGTTTGCACTTCTTTTCTGAAAAAAGTCGACAATATTAAGGCTAAATAGCAGAAAAATATGACCCAATAATCCATGCAATTCAAAATATCTATCAAATTAACTTCAAAAATCATGATTTGGGAATTATATCTATTCAGGCAATCAACCCATAATTTAGTGACAGATCTTGGGATTGGTGTACTACAAAACTATATTGACTGAAGTTTTGGAAAAATTTAGCCAACTTTTGAAGGATTTTATTAGGTCCAGTACACATGAGACTGGAACGAAGTCAATTAACCGGGACCATTTCGTTTTGGTCATTAGATTATATATAATAGATGTTTACATGAGGTCTCAAGTCACTTCGCCTGCTGGACCAAGCCGACTGACTCAGACCAGTATGAATTCAGACTGGAATGAATGTTGACATTGGAACAAGCGAACAACACATTTAAAAAAGAAAATTGCCTGGCAAGGGGAATAAATTGAAAATTTTGTGATTTTCATACTGGTCTCATGTAAACATGTTGACATGCAATTTCAATTTTCCAGGTTGGTTTCATCCTGGTTTCATGTAAAAGGGGCCTTACAAACTGTGATTCAGTATCATGGGATGAGATTAGGAGCCTTTTATATGATCCCGGCCAGGCGGGACGGGATGCTTACCGAGATCCCGCTCATAATACAAAGGAGTGTTTATATGATCCTGCCACTTATCCCGCCTAGACTGGATTTCGGCAACAGATGCCGGGATCCTGCCTAAGCGAGATGAAAAATTCCCATATAAAAACACTTTATCCCGCCTAGCCGGGATGAAAAATTCCCATATAAACACTTCATCCCGGTTAGGCGGAATGAATTTTTCCCTTTTGGGCATGCGTAAATGCCTTTATTGCAACAAAAATATGACGTCAAGCACCAAATGGTTTAATCCCGGCAATATATTTTGCCCATATAAACACTAGGCGAGTATCCTGTCTTGGCGGGATGAAAACATCCCGTCCCATCTAGGCGGGACCATATAAACAGGCCCTAAGGAATTGAAAGATTTTATAAGCGAGCAATGCTTAAAAGCAAGATATATGAACAATGAAAGAAATGGCACTAACAGAGCCACAACTTCTCCAGAAGTGTAAAATTCCATGATACTGAATCACAGTTTGCAAGTCAATCCTTCAAAATTTAGTTAAATGTTTCCAAAACTTCAGTCAATATAGTTTTGTAGTACACCCATCTTAAGGGTTCCTTTCAGCTTTCACCTTGCCAAGACCTGTCACTAAATTATGGGTTGCCTGAATAGATATAATTCCTCAATTCATGATTGGTCATGATTTTTGAAGTTAACTTGATAGATATTTTTAACTGCATGGATTATTGGGTCATATTTTTCTGCTATTTAGCCAATTAGCCTTAATATTGTAGACTTTTTTTAGGAAAGGAAGTGCAAACAAGCGCATACAATAGCAATTCTTCTTCGACTAATGGGCAACCATGCACTTCTAAATAGCAAGGAAGCTGAATGACTGTAGGGGTATGGATAGCTTTTTCATGGGCTCTGCTCAGTTTGTATGTTGTAACTTATGTCGAGCCATTGCAAGTGAATTTAACAAAGGCCAGTAAACAAAATTGACAAAAATATACACGATAAAGTTGCACATTTCAGCTTGGAGTTTGGTACTATTTCAACTGTCAATTCGAACTCGAACTTTGAAAGGTTCAAAACCTATCTGTCTCATATTTGATCACTCTATAATTTTGTATACACAAAGGTTTTCATCATAACTTAATAGCAAATTATAATTTAGGTTTTGGAAATCATTGGGTTTTTATCAGGAAGCAGTGCGCGCTAACACTCTCTTACAACATCTCGACGGCCATTTTTAAACACCAAATTAAACAGAGTATAGAAATAAAATAACACTCGAAATAAAGTTTTTGGTTACTTAAATCTTATCTTTAAGTTTCTTATAATAGCTAAAAGTAACAAAAACATATAAATTTTACACAAGTAATATTTTATAAAGCAATAGTTTCAGCATACCTTCTGATGGGTCATATACGCGTAGCCATATTTGTTTACAATTAGAACGTCTTACCCCCCGCGAAGCCCGCATCACGGATGGTCCGCTCGATGTATGGCCGTTTCTACGCCCTCTCTCCCTTCGCCCTGCTAAAAATAGATTTTCCAAGTGAAGACCCCCCACGAGACTCAGACAAACAAACTAACATTTTGTATAGAATTGTACTAGCAGCGAACATAAATTGGTCTAAATTGACGTTTTTATTTATTTTATCTGTGCTAAAACGAATTCAAATTTATTCCAAATTACAAACATGGTTAATGCTAAGCACTGTTGCTGGGGAACATGTCCAAGTGATTCGAGATACTAAGAAAAACTGCCGAAACAGGGAATTGAAAAGTCGGACGGGACGGGAATGTCTGCAGTAGCAATGTATTGATTGTTATTGACTGCGGACTGTGCTGGTTTTTCTCCAAGAACTTTCGCAGCTAACCATTTTCCCCCGTCAATACATCCAGCGAACGATGCTTTCCCGAACTATTAAAAGCAATCGCTAACTCGCTGAAGAAGAACTTGGCGTTTTATACTGGTTTGCTATAAGCCGGCCTCTACATTTTAACCTCTGCTTGAGTTTAATCGACAGTTTAAGCAGATGGATCATGCTCAAAATATGAGTCTGGGACGCCATCGTTTTCAGTGAGAGCGTCTGTTGTTAAATTTATGACTGAGAGAAGCAATATAGTTTACCAGACAGTGTTAGGGGCGGTTCTCTATTTTACAAAAGTTTTATAATAACATATTTTTGTTTTATTGTCAAAACAAAATAGTTTTACTGGTCAATGGAAGATTTTATATTTGAGATTTTATATAGTTTGTAGTTTATCTTTGACATTTTTTTAAAAAGTTTAAATTTGAAAGTATATTAGTTTTAATTACATTCCTAATAAATCCGTATTTTATAAGTTGAATATGTAGTCAATAGATTATAGTAAACAATCCTAGCTTCTTTGGCTTTGCACTTTGCTATTAATAAAAGAGATGTCTAAAGTTATAAAATAATGCACACTAAAGCGAGTATTAAGATATAAGTTAGTATAAACATGAAATCAACAACATTAAATAGGGAACTTTAGAACTGATTCGCTAGGGCTACGAATTAAATCTGGTACGGCTACGAGATTTTTTCGGTTAAATATCTGCTACTACAGACTTTCTATCGCCCTTTCTTTTGCATACCCTTTCTTTATGGCCTCTTTATAGCAACAGTTACGCCAAACCATGTACTATTTATAAGGCAGTAGACACCGCCTATGATAGAAACGACATGACAGTCGATACTAAAGTGACGAAAAGGTGTATATTTCTACTTCCAAAGCAAAAATATTTTGCACTGGCACTTCAGGTAAAGCGAAAAGTACAAGGTGTGTATGATTTCGCACAAATAAACCGTAAACAAACATCAAACTATCAAACTAACTCACAGGAAGCTCTTAATCATAATACTATTTATATTAAATGTTGCCAATGTTTGTCTGAGTCTTCGCAGGGGGTCGAATTTTCGTGACGTCAATGGACCTTTCCCCTTATAACTAAAATTTCGATCTAGACAAAAATTTCATCACAGCTTAAAAGAGCATCACAAAATTAGTAATATTCCAAAGTTTTGTTGCAAATTCTTGTAAAATGCGGATAATATAGACT